TTACCGTTATATGGGAGGTAGGCGTGGTTATTGTCCTATTTTGCCCATTTTCAATACCATCCGTCCTACGCCCGAAAGAAGTGCACGTACTAAGTTTCGTTAAGATATCTCAATTTTTACTCGAGTTATCGTGTGCACAGACGGACGGACAGACAGTCACCGCTTAATCGATTTCTTTTTTCATTCTGATCATTTATGTATACATTTGTCTATATCTATCTCGATTCGTTTTGCCTGTTACAAACAACCGTTATGTGAACAAAATTAATATACCCTTGTGCACAAGTGCGCTCGGGTATAAAAATTTTATGTGCGATATAGGCATGCACTCCGGGCAAAGTTCGGTCAACCTGGTCCTGTTTGTATGAATAGTAGGGTGTTCAATTATTCGCCTTTTTCCCAAAACCGGTTTTCGAGTTATTCGAAAAATTTTAAGTTGAAATTAAGAAAAAGCCGCATAAAACCAGTTTATTTTACATAGTTTTCATTCACTAATAATGCTTAATTGATATGAAGTCCTGACGAACAATTACAATAAAGTTATTAATGTATTTAGAAAAGAGCAGAGCAAAATAAGTTCAACGTTTGTGTTTTTACTTAAAAAGAAAGGAAAATAAAAATCAGTGAACAGTCTTAGCCGAGTGCCTAGATGTGCCTCCGGCCAATCGGGAGGTCCATGGTTCATTTTCTGGCGCCAGCAACAATACAAAAACATTTTTTTCAAATAGAGATCGGGAATGGTAAACCGCCGAGTGTACTTCTGCCATAAAAAAAAAAAACTTCTTCGGAGGTGGAGTAAAAGTGTAGATCTCTCCACTGGTGTCACGACATCAAGAATCAGAACACAAATTAGGAGAGAAGCTCCGCCAAGCGCCTAGAAAACGCTTTACTTATTGGAATCAAATGTGATGTCCTGTTCATCTCCAAACAACCTAGGGTATAATATTAAAACTATTTCCCTTAAACTGGAAAAAGTCTTAAAAATTTCGAAAAACTCAAAACTTTTACTGAGAAGTCAAGATTGGTATGAAATGAAAAAATCCGGCAGTAACCGGTTTGAAATATGTTTTGTAAATTTTGTACATCTGTAAACAAGAACAAAATTTAAACAAGTAACAATAAAATAGCATAACTCCGTAGGTAACAAGAGGACACATAAATATCAAGTTCAAGAATTTATTTGGCGATATTGATTCAAATTATGTCCATGTGTTCGTAAAAACGCGTTTTCACATTTATTACAGTTTAATTAGTTGCGTCCAACGGAGAACCACTCAACAACCAACAAGTGTTACTTCGGACTGAGTGGGCAATTGAGTAAAGTCCTCCCCTGTCGTACAAAAATCACACTCAGCATCAGCGTTGCCGAAAGCTTTCGCTGGAAAATCGTCATTTTACCCTAAAACAATCATAATTTCTGTCAAAAAATTGTCAAATTTTTGTTTATATTATTATACCCGAGCGCACTTGTGCACAAGGGTATATTAATTTTGTTCACATAACGGTTGTTTGTAACAGCCAAAACGAATCGAGATAGATATAGACAAATGTATACATAAATGATCAGGATGAAAAGGGAAATCGATTAAGCGGTGACTGTCTGACCGTCTGTCCGTCCGTCCGTCCGTCCGTCCGTCTGTGCACACGATAACTCGAGTAAAAATTGAGATATCTTAACGAAACTTGGTACGTGAACTTCTTTTGGGCGTGGGACGGATGGTATTGAAAATGGGCGAAATCGGATAATAACCACGCCTACTTCCCATATAACGGTAATTTTAAGAAATACGAAAACTGCGATATTTTAGTAACTACTGAAGATAATTCACTCAAAATTGATACTTACAATGAGTTTCAGACGGAAAACATGAATTTTATAAATTTTTGGAAAATGGGCGTAGCCACGCCCACTTATGGTTACATGTGTATATCTTGGTAACCGCTACACCAATTTCTTCCAAACTTGGCACAGTTGTTGGCCATCGCACAACATACCAAATGGCCGAAAATTTTTAAAATCGGACAATAACCACGCCCATATCCCATGTAACGATAATTTAGAGAAATACAAAATCTTCGATAAATCAGTAAATATTAAAGCTAATTTATTCAAACAGGGTGGTAAGATGATTTATTTTGGAACGAATTTCCGTCATCCATTGTCAAGTTTGGTTTGCAGACAAACCGGTTTCGGCGTTGTGCCATCTTCAGTGTCATTTTTCGTTCTCTCGTCGACTCTAATTAACTCAAAACAACCCGGAAAGCGCTTCTCACACTAGAAAAATGGGTAATGGATCGTAAATGTCTGCTGCTTTGCGCACGAAACAGCCCGGACTTTTTTTGCGGGCACAAATGTGCAAAAGGGCAATTTGAAATAACAGCTCTTTTTTCTTAAATCCGAAAGCAAATTTTACAAAACACAGAAGTGGAAAATACCACAGAATTTTGTAAATGTAGTTATTTGGTAATTTTATTAGCCATATAAGATAAATACACGTAAAGTCATTGTTTAAAGCTGATTTTTTGATTCCGGGCACGAAATGTGGTTTTTTGCGTTCCTCATGCTCTGGGCACGTGTTGACACATAATTGACACTTGTGAGAGAGTAGCTTATTTTTACGCTCTAATTACCAGAGCAGCGGCGAAAGCGTGTGGAACAAAGCTATTAGCATTGATTAACTGATAGATAATTTTGACTGAACCAATTCTCTCCCCTACTTTTCTGTGTTTTTCAAATCAGTGGCAGCAGTGCAAATTAACGATTTGGTTACAATTCCAGAACAAATTTAATACAACTGAAAGCACTGTTTTAAAACAAAACTAGATAAATGCATGGTTGTATTTTGGGTTACGATTTCCTGTTACAAATTCCATACCGTTTTCTATGAAAAGTTGTTTTTTTTTTCTTCATATAAAATACATGGAAAACTTTGAGCACTTGAGGGTATGTCTTTTCGATATAGAAGAATTATTTTGGACCACCGTAATATGCATTCAGCTTGGATATAGGGAAACGAATTGGGACTTTTCTCTACAGTCTTCTAGGCAATTTTACTACCTCTGGTTTAACAACTACACACTGCTTTAACACTTACATCATTTATTCACCTGAGGTGACTGTGTGATCAATGACTATCACTAATCGTTATGTCTGCATAAGAACAATATGCTACCGATGGCGCCAAATTTCCCTAAAATTTAACCACAAAACTAACAAATACCAGAAAACCACATACTTAAGAGCTAAACTTTAATACCCCTAACTCTATAACTTTCCGAGTTCAATAACTTTGAGGAGAGTACAATGACAAATTTAGAAATACTTATTTGTGCTTTATAGAAACAATAAGAATTAAGCTTGCATCATTTGAATCAGCCAATTGAGAATCTACAAAAATCTTCGGGTTTCTGCTCTGATTAAATTTATTCCGTAAGCGTGTGTGAGTAATGCACTAACGGTAGCGGAAATGAATTCCGGTATTCCCCGCCAGAGTGACAATCGAAATAAACATTTTGACTTGCTTTGCTTGCGAAAATATAGAGCAATCCGCGAACGAGTCAATGCATGCAACTTTAATCTGGCAATTGATCTTTAAACTGCTCTTCAAGTTCGGTAAAACGTGCCAGTATTGGTTTTCATGTACAAAAATTTAGAAAAGATCACTGCTTCTCTCCGAGGTATAATGTTGTTCTTTATATATAGAAAGATAACGTTCCAGCACAAGACCGAGCTAGAAACGAAATGTGCTAATTTTTTTTTTTATTTTAATGATTAGCTATATTTCACAATGTAAAAACAAATATACATAAATATGTGCATATAAATATTCTAATTTCACAAAATAATTAACTACAAATTTAATGGGTAAAGCACACATCTCTTTTTTTTTTTTGCTGATGTTTTGCGAAACGCCACAAACCACAAATCAGGTTTGTGAGTAAGACTATTGTTAGGATTATTAGCGTTGTGGAATCCATACGAAATAATTCCAAATCCTCGATTACGCGTAATGTGTCGAAACGAGTGAAGTACCAAAAGCGAAAGACTTAAGTAGCGAACGCGTTTTGTGAATTTTATTTACACCGTTACACCATATTTAGATATTCAATATCATTTAATGTGTTTAGTAGTTCGTTTTAGAGTATGTAGTTAGAAAACAATAATAACACTTCTTGAACTCACGAGCAGTGGTCTGAGCTGAACAAAATGACATTGCCAACTTATCGCCGTTGACGCTTGCTGGCGCCGGAATTATTTAATAGTCAGCATCAACTTACTCTCAGCATAAAATCCAAGATGCTCATCTTCCAATATTTCCTGCGATGCTAAACTACCTATGCACCTACATACATTAGGGCGGTCCAAAAATACAGAAGAAAATCAAATTTTTGCAATTTTCCTGCTGCCACCCTGCAGAATTATAAAAAGTAGAACACATACATATTTTTAAATCGGTTTATATTTACTAGTGGTGCCAGGGCTTTGAAGTTTTCCCATTTTATATTAAATAAATGAAAGAAAACCTAATTTTTCTATCTCTTATTGATTTTTGCTTGAATATTTTCAAATCCCTTACCTATTTGAAAAAAAAACTATTTGCACTATACAAACTAAGTTCAGGAAATAATTGTTTCCATTTCATTAATAATATATAAAATACAAACTTATTATCTTGATTGGACTAAAATTCAACAATATATCTCTTAAATATGTGTGCAAAATTTTTAAAAACCTGGGCAAAGTGGGAACTGAACAAATTTAAAAAATATAAAATCATCAAAAGTAAATATTTTTTGATCAAATAGGAATATATCACTTTACAAATTAAAACTGTGATGGGTATTTATTGCATGACGAATGAGCAACGCATTTGTTTATTTTTTTGTTATTTTTATTCATGAATCCTAATTTTATTTTATGAATGTTTTCGTAAAAAATGCATTCGAAACTTCAAAGCTCTGGCAACACCAATAAATGTTAACCGATTTCCAAATGGTAGCTGCGAAAAAAATCGGCCTACCCTAATACACATATTGGTAACAGCGCGTTTATTCGTTTTCGTTTCGCTGCACTCAATTCAGTCGCTCAAGTCATCTCCTCCATCAGTTTTACTGATCAAATCATTGCTTGCTTGTAGCGACTGCCCGATTCTTTAGTATATTTATTAGCTCTGCTCTGTATAAAAGTAGACTTTTACTTCAGCTGAGATTTTAGTTGTGGCTCAGTGCTCTTCGCGGTAACATTTGTATAATATTGCGCTAATCTGGTTTAGTTGCGTTAAAGACGAAGTGGCGATAAGCGATCGATCGCAAGTGATTTAGTGAACGCGTGCAAAGTCGAGTGGTGACTAATAAACGTTTGCTAAATATTAGAGAATTATATACATAAATAATTACTTACAATCGCATAAAATTTGGTTTATAATAATAAATGCGTAAATGCTTTTGAAAAAAGCAGCAAACTTTGAATAGCTAAACTTAAAATCTGACTAACCGGTATCAAATTGAGGAGCTCAAAATGTTAAGCGCTACCTTATTCACTGTTTTAAGTGTGTTTTATGCCAAAATGGCTTGTGGACAATATTTCGAAACACAGAGTAAGTAGTACCCAAGCATGAGCAACATTTATACGGGATTTGCTGAGTGTTACTTTTTTTTAGATTTAAAAGCCAATTGTTATCTTTTCTAAAGCAGCGGAAAAGTTACTTACTACTTGATTTCAAAGCCGAAAAAGTCCCCCTACAAAAATCAACCTACACATATGGGCTATGTGTAACGCATTAAAGTATCGGAAAAGCTTCGATATACGAGTATATCACTAAAAGCCTGCTTACAACATTAGTTAGGGGATTACGGTTCGGTGGTTTGGAATCCAAGGTATCAAATTTACGCAGACAAGATCGAATCAATTCANCACGAGCATATCACTAAAAGTCTGTTTACAACATTAGTTAGGCCAATTCTGGATTACGGCTCGGTAGTTTGGAATCCAAGGTATCAAATTTACGCAGACAAGATCGAATCAATTCAAAAACAATTCCTACTTTTTGCTTTAAGAAATTTCCGTTGGGATTCTCAATATAACCTTCCACCTTATACGAGCCGATTAAAACTTATTAATCTTCCTACACTTTTCAGTCGCAGGCAAATGCTTGGTACAATATTTATAGTTAAATTACTGACAGGCTCAATTTCAAGTACGCTTCTTCTGGGCGAAGTTAGCCTTAATGTTCTCTCCCTCGTATCAAGACACTTTTGTCCCCTATTTCTGAAAGCGTGTAAAACTAATTTTGAATTGCACGCTGCAAAAAAAAACTTCTCTTAATTAAAGAAAAACAGAAAAACAATCAAAATGAAGAAAAATGGGAACAAAACAGCACTAAAGAGGTTTTATCCTCTTTTCATGCCCAACATTTCTGCAGGATGATATTTTCGTGTACGTTTTTACACATTCCAAAGATAAATTACGCATTCGGGAGAATTTTTTACTCATTCGGAAGAATTTTCGACCTTAAAGTAAGGAAGGTTTTTCTTTGATCCAGAGATGGATTTTTGGTTCAGTGCGACCCACTCCGTTGCTTATGCCAGGATTTTAACTCTCATTCCAGCACGTTTGATATATCATATCCGCTTTTCAGCTTTAAGAAATCGATACTGTCCTCTCTCAATAAATGAATCATTAAAATAAAGACATAAAATCGGCTGATGAATTTGGTTCTGTAGCTGAACAGTTTTGAAAAAATTTAAAATACTGGTTTCCGTACGTCATGCGGACTGCGCCCCTCGTGCGGATGGGCGGGAATGGAGGGTAAAAACCGTTGGGATTATTATTATTAAAAACTGATTCAAATAGCAAACGTTTGAAAGTAAGACAATAATGGGTAAAATGTATGGGGTAAATATTTCTCTTCGCCAAAATTGCATATTTTTTAGTTGCGAAATTTTGTCACAGTTGGCGATATTCGATGCTTCATAAGCCCATCCAGAAAAAAGTGTTTATACATTTGTTCTCGCATTTGGGTGCCATCCCTTTTTCAATGATAACATATATATTTATCCTTTGCCTACTCCTCCCATGCACCGGCAATTTTAAAAATTTCATATACGGTGACTAATGAGTTGATTCTGTTCCAATTTTTATATAGATTGATCCAATTTGCTTTTCTTTATGGATTATACATAAGTATTCGAAACCACTATCAAACGATATCCAGCCTTTAACAAACCGCATTCGATCTCATTTTGAAAACTGTCGAAATCGTAGAATTACCTCGCGCATGGCATATAATGTAGAAAAAGAAATACAATTATCGTGGCATTCCTTTGCATGCTTCCTTTGGTTACTGATTTAACCAATTATTGACAGTTATTATATAACATCATATAACTTGTATTTTTCAAATACAAAAACGACCCATCCTAATATGCCAATCTTTTATAAAGTGATCCAATATTGCAAAAATATGCTAGCTATAATGATTTAAATTTTTTTTGCATGCCTATTATTTATCATTTATTTAGTTATAATTAGTAACCGTCTTCAAAAAAGGAAAAGATTTTCGATAATCTTTTATGAACATACACTCATATAGATATGTATGTTTACATATGTACAAAATATGTATACACATACATACATATGTATGTATCTAGCACGAGTGTGTGTAATTATTAGTTTTAATTGCCAATTATTACGCGTAAAAGCCATTTTAAGCTCACCGATCTCAAATAGCCGCATATTTATGANTTGTACAATATATGTATAAACATACATACATATGTATCTAGCACGAGTGTGTGTAATTATTAATTTTAATTGCCAATTATTACGCGTAAAAGCCATTTTAAGCTCACCGATCTCAAATAGCCGCATATTTATGAATGACAAACCACAAGTATATACATATATATATATGTATGCCTTTATGCTAGGTCACATTATTATGTGCATACATATGTACACACACACACATGGATGTATCAATACGCGCGCAAACACACTTCTTTTATGCAAATGAATATATGTATGTATGTAGTTAAACCAAAAGATGCGGAACTGTATGCGGTTTCTTACTTTTTGAAGTTCATTATCGACATTTCAATTAAAATATTAAAAATATGATATTAAACGCAAACTATTTATGTACAATTGCATGGACAATTGAATAAACTATTTTACTGTAGGTACATTTGTATGTACATTAGGGTGGTAAAAAAGTAAAGTTGGATTATCACTGTTTTCACCCCTGGGATTGTTGTTATTTTGAAAACATAATATATTTGGAGGTCGCTCATAGTTTTCCAAGTATTTTATATCAATATAATCAATATTTGTCTATCGGGAAACTCTGGTTCTCTTCAGGAGACTTTTAATAATAATACCCAGAGCATACAAATTCCGACTTTACCTTTTCGCTCGCATTTTTGGACCACCCTAAAGTACAACATGCACATGTATATTGTCTCATTTTTAAAGGTGAGTGTATTGACGCAAAGTGGCTCCGGTATTGCGGTATGAACATATGTATGTACCTGTGAAATAACTACCTCTCAACAGCGCTAAACTATTCAAAACTTTCGGCAATCCTATCTTTGGTACTCTTTAAACAGGATTGAAGTTGCTATGCGGTGGCATGCTTATTTATTAAAACCTTGGTAAAGCATTTTTTGTTATTGAACACAACTAAACAACATAATAAATGAAATGGCTCTTTTTTTTTAAATAATACCACGAATTGAACAAATTTATTTGACCTCATTATTTAGAATTTTGTTTACTAAGCTAAGATGTATTTGACAATGTTGTGATGAAAAGTTTTCAGCTCTCGACTAAATTATTTAAGGAATAGATGAAATTTTAAACAAAAATTCCTTAAGAATACCATTTGTTTAAGAGGTTTGTGCATTTCCCATACAAAAGCAAGCGCAGTGAGCACACACACGCAACTATGTTTAAAAGCGATTCACTCGGCCTTAATAAGTAGAAAGAACGCCCACACATGTATTTGCATAAGAGGATATGAATTTTTTAGACAATTTTCAAATATCTGCTTGCTCAATTTATTGAAGTAATAAGTCGCTGGCATTCCCAACCCTGGTCATCGCTCCCATGTTTCACACCTCGCTCGCCCCTTGAGCAACGCTCGATCCTAACTCTGAACCTGAGCTCCCGATCTCCCGATAAGCACAATTTTTATAAGATTTTAGGCGTAAAAAAAGTATAGTAAACTTTAATTTTTTTTATTTATTCGTGCGAGTTCAAAGCTTCCATATATGTACATATGCCTACATTAAAAAATGCTCACTGTGATAGAAAATAGGAGTTTCTGAATTAAGGCAACTTTGCAGCAACTTGAACAAAAGAATCAATCTCAAAAGTACATATCCCGAAGGAGCATCCCAAAGGTACCCTAGAATTCAGAACGCCATTCTTGTTTCATTTCGGCTGTCAACAAGTGTTATTCGAAGCAAATAGTTCTACACACAAATGTTCTGGTTTGAAGTCGCATTTGTTGTAGATATCGCAAAAAGTAAATACATAGCCTTTTATGTGATCAGTCTCGCAACCGCAAACTTCTAAACAAAACGAGAATTGAAGGCAGAAAAGCCACAAGAGCAGTAAATTAAAGTAAATCACACAAATTTTCCATTGGTACAGCCTGATGAACTAGAAAAGAAGCGTATGCGATCAAGGTGAATCCCCAAACGTAAACACTCACTCACACCAAAGCGCATTCCATATACTGCCTTATACATACATACATACATACGTACATGCATAACTCTTTTCTTCTATCCACCTTTGGGATTTCTAAAATGTTTCCTTCTTTTTGCACTTCCAGCACATCGCTGTTTCAATCCCAATCAACGGCCCGGCACTTGCGTCTCCATTTACGACTGCCAGACATTGGTGTCGGTGCTGCAACGCGGCTCAATCCAGCCGATCGACACCGAGTTTCTGCGCGCTTCCGAATGCCGCGGGGGCTACGGCAGTGGCCCATATGTATGCTGCACCGGCGATACCGGTTTCACGCGCAACACTTACGATGATTATAGCCTCCAGCCAAGCACCGTGCTCTTTCCCGCAGGTCCCATCGAAGCGCGACAGCCACAACGGCACAGGCAAAGAGTAAGCGACTCCAACGGAGGTGGGCGTGCATTTAATAGCATTGGCGGTGACGCAGGTGGCGGTAGTGGCAAACAGCCGAGAGATGTGCCAGCTGGTGGACAGCTGTCGGAGTCGGCGGCGACATTGCCGCGTTTGCCCACCTGCGGCGGAGTGACGATATCGAATAAGATATACAGCGGCACAGATACGGATCTGTATGAGTTCCCTTGGATGGTGCTGCTCGAATACAATCGACGTGAGTGACGAATGGTAGATTTAAAATTATATATGTATTACGATTTAATTTATTGTCACTTGGTGCAAAAAGGCGGATGCGGGGCGAGTGTGCATTAGGGTGGTCCAAAATAAGTAAAGTCGGAATTTTAATGCTCTCACCCCCTAGGATTGTCCTATATGAAAGAATATACCCCTATTATTTTATTTTGAAATAAAAAAATATTTACATATTTAGGTCACTCAAAGCGCTCCAAGTTTCCTTGTATTTTATATGAAGAAAAAACAACTTTTCGTAGAAATTGTATAGCATTCTTGAAAATCAATATTTTTCGATCGGAAAACTCTGTTTCTCTTCAGAAGATTCCCAATAACAATACCCAATTATTTATTTTACCATTTTTCAATACTTAACATTTTTTATTGGTGCTTTTGATAGACCTTTAAAATATAGTTACTATGGAAAAATAGTTAAATAAATAATTTAGTATCATTATTGGGAATCTCCTGAAGAGAAAAAGAGTTTTCCGGTCGAAAAATTTGGATTTTCCAGAACTCTATACCATTTCTACGAAAAGTTGTTTTTTTCCATATAAAAATATGTACATGGAAAACTTCAGCTCTTTGAGCGATTTCTAAATATTTTTTGATTTCAAAATAAAAAATAGGGGTATGGAACAATCGTAGGGAGTGAGAGCATAAAAATTCCGACTTTACTTTTTCACATGCATTTGTGCATACCCTAGTGTGCATACGCATTTGCATAGTTGTATTGTTGCATTTGAATTTAAAATAGGTAGCTTATTTTTTCATCTTTTTTCTATATTTTTTAGGATCTGGCGGCTTGTCAACCAACTGTGCTGGCTCACTTATAAATAATCGATATGTGCTAACGGCGGCACACTGTGTGAAAGGTGCCATTGAGAAGCAAATCGGAACACTGTAAGTTGCACACGTTTTTTCAAAGATTATAAAACGACATTTCAACTGAATCGAATATACATACATACTTATGTATATATGTACATACATATAGTCCAATCTCAAAAGAATGAACACTATCGGCACAGAATTGTTGTGGTTTTTGGCAGTGCACACTTTAGCACTTGCGAAAGTAAAAGGCCGCCTCGGGCCTTAAAGTTTGTAAGATATAAGAAAGTTGGAGGTATCCACAGGAGACAAGTCTCAGACTACTTTGACTGAGAAAGATTTCGCTCAATATTTCATTTGGCTAGAAATGCCCCTGCTGAATGCTTTCTGCTGAAGGACACCCTGTAGTAATTATAAAATATTACTGCCGAACCAAAAAATTAAAAAAATGTGTAGTCAGAACTCTAATTTGTGATTGAAAGTAGTAGAAGAAGAATTTTCCAATTCTGCAAGCAAAAATGGCTGCCATTCACAGGCCGACTAAACAAAACTTAATCTTTTAATTTTCATACATATTTGTACTACTTGTTTTTTTTTTGGCATCTCGATTTAAATAAATCGCTGATTGTTGAAACTGCAGTCCATGACAGAAAGAGTGTTTGCAAATCAACGTACATACATTTATTGTCTCACCTTTTATTTGTTCATGCCTTAATTAATTCTTTTTAATTGCTTTTTGTACATAACGGTTTATTTGATGAAATGAAATGATTAATGATTTAAGATTAATTTGCACCTTCATACATACAAAACATTTACGTCTTTTCATTTGTGTACATACATATATCTACCAGTAACGCAGTACGATTGGGCGAGTACGATACTACCAGGCAAGTGGATTGCAATCAGTATTCCTGTGCCCCCTCAGCCTTGCGCGTTGGCATCGAAGAGACTATTCCACATGAGCAATACCGCGATAATTCGGCCAATAAAGAGAATGACATCGCACTGATACGCCTCGATCAGGAGATACGCTTCTCTGACNCGATTTAAGATTAATTTGCACCTTTCTGTATATCTACCAGTAACGCAGTACGATTGGGCGAGTACGATACTACCAGGCNTGATTTAAGATTAATTTGCACCTTCATACATACAAAACATTTACGTCTTTTCATTTGTGTACATACATATATCTACCAGTAACGCAGTACGATTGGGCGAGTACGATACTACCAGGCAAGTGGATTGCAATCAGTATTCCTGTGCCCCCTCAGCCTTGCGCGTTGGCATCGAAGAGACTATTCCACATGAGCAATACCGCGATAATTCGGCCAATAAAGAGAATGACATCGCACTGATACGCCTCGATCAGGAGATACGCTTCTCTGACTCCATACGGCCCATTTGCTTGCCGTCGGCGGTGAAGCGGGAGCGATCGGCGCCGATTAGCGGTACTTTGTACACTGTCGCTGGCTGGGGTCGCACGCTGCGCAGTCCGAAGAGTGCCACCAAACAGAAATTGCAAATACCATTGGTCGATTTGGAGCAATGCCAGCGAAAGTATCGGGAGCGAAAGGTGAACGTGGTGAAAAGTCACATCTGCGCGGGTGGTGTTTATGCCGAGGACAGCTGTGAGGGTGATTCGGGTGGTCCGTTGATGCGTTTCCGGAATGATGCCTGGGTGTTGGAGGGCATCGTGTCGTTCGGCTACAAATGCGGGCTGAGCGGTTGGCCGGCGGTACACACACGTGTGGCGCAATTTGATGACTGGATACGGCGCAATATACGGAATTAGAGGAATGTTAAGGCAGCTATTTAGATTTAAAATAATTGTTTGATGCTTTTAGTACATAGTAATTTATGTTGAATTGTGATCTTGCCATTAGTTATTAATTTCCGAATACGCCATGAACTGCACCACATACTTGTATACTCACTCGTACCACATTTTTCATCACCCTAATAGTCAAAACGACAATTTCATTGGTAAATATGTATTTATGTAAATAAAGGTTAATACAACTTTATAAAAGTTGTGTAATGATAATAGCTGTTTTGGGTGGAAAATAATCCAAACACTTAATTCAAATTTCAGAACTCGAAATTTCGCTTTAAGGTTTGTAATAAAAAGAGTGGAGGAAAAATTTTCAAAAGTTCCATAAACTTGGTACGTGCACTTCTTTCAGGCGTAGGACGCATGGTATTGAAAATGGACAAAATCGGACAATAACCACGCCTACCTCCGCCGGTAATTTTCAGAAATACAAAAACTGCGATATTTTAGTAACTGCTGAAGATAACACTCAAAATTGATATTTACAATGAGTTTCAGACGGAAAACATGAATTTTATAAATTTTTGGAAAATGGGCGTAGCCACGCCCACTTATGGTTACATGTGTATATCTTGGTAACCGCTGCTCCGATTTCTTCCAACCTTGGCGCAGTTGTGGGCCTGTGCGCAATCCTCGATAAATCAGTAAATATTAAAGATAATTTATTCGAAGTTGATGCTTGCAACCAAGAAATACCTTTATGATCCAATTTTAGGCGTGGCACTAACCACTTATGATCACATACATATGTATATGTATCCCGGTAAGCGTTCTACCAATTCGTACCAAACTCGGTATGGCTATTGTGTTTGCCACATAAAAGCAAAACTTTGAAAATTATTGAAATCGGACTAGAATTACGGCCGCTTTTTATATAACGGTAAATTTCTGAAATGCTTGAAACTTCAATATTTCAAAATTTAAGGACGCTAATTTACTCAAAATTGATACACCTCAGCGTACTATGTAGCGGTAGCTTTCGGAGAGGTGAAAAACATATATTTAATTTTTGCGCCGGGTATTAATTTTCGGCTCCGCCCGAACTTAGACTTTCTTACTTGTTTTAATTCACTTTGGCCACAATTTCGAAAATTTTCACAACAGAGACTCGGATTCTTACACCGTTGCAAATACGGATCCAAAGTGGATATATGTAGAAACGGGATTAGACTTAGGGACCTCCATATTAGTAAAATGTTTTTTCCTCCTGATCATCATGAACCTTATTCACTCAGAACTCAATAGATCCAAGGCAATTTGTTTTATGTTTAAAGTTAAAGGCGACGATGTGCGTTTCTTGTTATAGAAAGAGAAGGTAATCTTGGAAGTTTAGCAGAGTGAAAAGTTTTATCCGCGTTCATTGACTACTAGAACTGTACCATCTCTCACAAACTGATTAAAAGTGACTATATCTTTGCCTACCGTGGACTCTCTTGGAAGATTGTGGATGGTCTTACCTTTCCTTGAAAGGTTGGCAATTAACTATCGATATGATCACCTTCGGCTCCGCTTAAGTTTGGAATCCACCCCAATCTGAAAAGAGCGCTGAAGGCATGAAAAGTACTGATTGCCTAAAAAGTGTGGTGTGTGCTTTAACGGCTGACCAGCTCGCATTAAAATTTACACCTAAACTTTAGAGTTCCAAACTCGGCGAGAGCCTAAAAGTATGCGCCTTGAGCAGCGCGCTTTCCGCTAAACATAATTAAACTTAATCATGGCTTAAACGAAAGTGAAACCACATCAGCTGTCAGCTGTTCAAGGCAAGACTTGTTGATATTGTGCGGAACCGGCTTCGAGTGTATTGTTTGTTGGCCACCACGAAGCACTAGAGAGCGATTCGTTACGTCATTACACCATTTTCGCCGTTTAAACATATCGTGGCGTCACTGACGTGGATGATGAGGAAAAGGTAAACACAAAGTGTAATGACCGTAGAGCGGTATTGTAGTGTCATACATATTTAGGCACTTGTTCTCATTGAAGTAATGTTAATAGTGCTTGCTATTTATTTATTTACTTTTTCCAAATTTTATTTAAACCACTGACAACGTCCCGCTGCCATCTTTTGGAGCGCTCGCGGCGTTGAGCTTACTAATACAACATTTTTCTCATTACCTCTGCTAACGCTCGTCTCCTCAGCGTTTTCCATTCACTCTCGCTTGCTATCGCCGCGTGCTAATCGCACACACAGCTGAGCGGTACTTCAAGCTGTAGTGGTCGCGCCCGTGTATTGAGCGGATAACTTAAACGCTTTATGAAAGCTGTGTTACATTTAAGCTATCGCTGCGTGCCAAGTCAACTCGCGTTTAAGCTACGCCATAGCCGCTTTGGAGGAGGCAGTCCAGTGGTCGCGGGACATATTCTTCTACGTGACTTAGTTACGCTCCGCGCTGTCGGTTTCACATCAGCCCATTGTTTCTCTGCATATGTGTGCAGCATTTTCGAAATTCCGAACTTTTGAAGTCTCTAGTCGACAATGCACTTCAATTGTTTCGCCGTCACCTTGGCGCTATCAGTCGCGTATGGCGCGCGCGCAAATACGGACGTCGAATTGCCTTTGTTTTCACAAGAAAGTAGCGACAGCAGTGGCTCCCATAAAACTCCAATAACACCGGTCAACTGTGAGATACCCAATGAGGCGAAATTGGGCATCTGCATGGAGGTGAGCAACTGCTCAGCTTATCTACAGGCGCGTAATATGGCCGACGTATCCTCAGAGAAAGTGAACTTCCTGAAGAAGGTGCAATGCTCATGCAAAGATAGCGGAGATCGCATTTTTCAACCCTTGGTATGCTGCCCAGCCAACGGACAGGACTACTTATATCCTTCGTTGAAATTTTCGAAATTCGAGTATCGCCGCTTTCAAAACGTCACGGCTCAGTTCAAACGCAAGAAGTTGAAGCGTCGCATACAAACTGTGGAGCCGGCGCAGAGCTTCAACTTGCGCAACGAATGTGGCAAACAGGTGACGAACCGCATTTATGGCGGCGAGATCGCCGAATTGGATGAGTTCCCATGGCTGGCGCTGCTGGTGTACAACTCAAGTATGATTCACAATATATGTATGTACATATGTACATATATGTATGTAATAAAATGATTGGTGGACAATGTGCTAAAATGTTTTTGTGCTCCGTTTCGTTCGCAGATGATTTCGGTTGCAGTGGCGCGCTGATAGACGATCGGCATGTGTTGACGGCGGCGCATTGCGTGCGTGGCGAGGGCGTGCGCGAAAAGCGGGGATTGTAAGTGACCAAAGTGCTATGGCATATTCTGGAAAACATAAAAATAATCAATCTGTTTGAAAACATATCAGCAGTCAGTACCATGATTCAGTACTTGTTTTTTACTTAATATTTACAGTACTTATTTTTATGCCGGATTTTCACTAGGCATTAAATTGCAAACATGATAATGACAAAATTGGGCATTAAAAAATATGCGTGTCATTACGTTAAATAGAGAGTCACTAAATTCATTTCCACGTGGCATTTTTTAAATGGCAGCAATTTTTTGTCATTTCAATGCCTAGTGGAAACTCGGCATAACAACGATATATATTTACATATGTAGATACATATCGATCTTTTGAAATGACACAATTCAAAATTCTGCATCTTTTAAGTTATACGCTAAAAATGTACACAGAGCCTTTATTGACGTTTCAGCAAAAGCTGGAGCGAATTTTTGTTTTAATTTGTTGAAAAAACCTTAGGCCAAAGCTCCCTAAAATCGTGTGCGATATATTTCAACGTAGAAAAATTTGTTCGACAGAATGCTAAACGTGGGTTCTTTCGAAATTTATTCACCAAACTAATTACTTTCTTCGGCTGCCATTTCCCGCGTAATATCGTGTGAAAAATATTTTTAATGCCATTGGAAAGTCATTGCAGATTTTGTGATTGTCTTTCAAATCATTTAGTTACATATACATATGTATATATGTATATATATAAGAAGGTCGTTTTGTTCAAAATTAGTTATTTATTAAAAAAAGGGTTCTAAAAAGCTGAAAGCACTGTATCCAGCCAACAAAACGCCATATCTTACATAACACTCCACCAAGTTGAATGATTGAAACACCATTTTAGGGTTGGCATTCGCTTAAAATCTTAAGTGTTGGTCCAACAAAAAAAATAATAATAATTTTTGGCGAGACGAAGTTCGCCGGCTACGCTAGTAGTATTTTATTTACTAAATGGCTGAGCCAAATTAATTTTAAGTGCAATCAAAAAATTTACTCATTTTATATTCAGTAGAATCTGAGAAAATGCATTTTTCAAATTAAATAAAAAAAATATTTCACGCAAAAGTAAACCTTTCCTTTTAGGAAACTCATACGCTTAGGAGAATTCAACGTTAAAACCGAGCCGGACTGTATTGAGGAGCCAGACTATCTGAACTGCGCGGACGCCGCATTGGACATTGGCTATGATCGGATTTTCGTACATCCCGAATATAATGAGCACTCTTTCAGCAAATTCCACGACGTTGCCTTAGTACGACTAAAGCATGCGGTGTCCTTTACACATTTCGTAATGCCCATTTGCCTGCCAAGTGAAACGGACGAAAGTCCATTTAAAGAGGGCGAAACGTTTTCGGTGTCTGGCTGGGGACGCACCGATTTATGTAAGTAACTTTTGATTCTGCAAACCTTCGAATTGAACATTTTCCCTAATGAATACGTATTTGTCTTTTGGTCTCTTTACCCCCGCCGAAAACTAGTCAATAAGTACTTCCGCAACATCCACAGTCCCATCAAACTGAAGCTCCGAATTCCATATGTGCAACGTGACAAATGCGCCGACATTTTGTCAAAATTTGGCATCGAACTGAGCCCGAAACAGGTATGCGCTGGTGGCGAGTTCGCTAAGGATACATGCGCCGGCGACAGTGGTGCTCCGCTAATGTATTTTGATCGCAAATTCTCCCGCTGGGTTGCCTACGGCGTGGTGAGTTACGGATTCACGCGCTGCGGTATGGCCGGCCATCCGGCCGTATACACGGATATCTCTGCATACCTCGATTGGATACATGGTATAGTGACAGCCAAATGAAAAAAGTTACATATTTACATACATACATATGTAGATATAGAAGTACATACACATGTAGTTAAATTAGAGGATTCGATTTGTACATATTCGTTCGTTGCTTTCGCTAAGGAGCATTAGGTATTTATTATTTTTATGAATTCGAAAAAATGATGTTATTCGTGGAAAGAAGTAAGAAGACACAAATGTATTTATTTCATATTAGATGTGCCAATATTTATTTATATAGCAAAAAACAGAAGTCTTTTATTTATAACTCAAACATGCTAATAATACACACATATCTACATTCATATGTATATTAGGGTGTCCTTAAAACGCCACTCTTTCTTTGGAATCGCTTCATTAGTTCTCGTGCAATAAGCGAGTTCGTGATGCTCTAAAACTTACAACTACAACATTTGAGCATAGCCTCCATAAGGAAATGTTAAACTATGTTCACATATCAATATTATCTCAATCAAAGCTCGTTTTTTAATCACCTCGTTTACATAGGCAATTCTCCGATTATTAGCCGTAAAATTTGTTGTGCTTGTTATTCTCACATCTCAAGGAAAAGTTATGTTTCTTCTCTGTGCCACCGTGATCACGTTTTTCTGCTATAATAAGCAATATAAATATATTTTAACTTAACATTTTATTAAAAATACCTTTACAAACCTCTTTTNTCTCTTGTTATAATTATAGATTAGGGTGTTAAACTCGAAAATGAGGATAATCTACTTATATGTGAACCTAGTATAAGACGTATATTGTACGTCAAAAGTTTCTTTTACTATTTCGGTCAGATTGTAACCGTTAAACTAAGCCAAATATTTGGTTGGTCAAAAATAAAAGGCTTGGCCAAATGACGAACAAGCCGTGAATCCTATTCAATTGAATTTCGTATAAATAGTTTCTAGGAATCAAAAATTCATAGTTTGTTTGACATTGAATGTTTCTGAATTAACAAGCGAATCAAAAACTAGTTTAAAATCAGATCTCGCGCACGCTTTAAATCGAAGAAAATGAGTAGCATCGTCAGCAAAAAAATTATTAAAAATCAACGCGAACTCTTAACCATCACAAATTTCCACGCTATTATACTTAAGTTATGGGCTATAAGGCTGCATACTCGATTATTATTTTTTTTTAATTCGAATGATTTACTTGTAATTTTCCGTTCGGTGGAATATACTCCGAGGTTTGCCATTGCCTGCCGAGGGGCGACGTGGTGGTGAGAAAAAACTTTACATGATGCCCGGCACAGGGATCGAACCCAGGTATTTCGGAGTGGTAGTACGCACCTCTTGCCAGTCAGCCACAGCGGTAACAGGTTACAATGAAACAAGATATGAACAAAACTCGTTTGTGAAGTCAAACTCTTCCTAAAGTGGGTGAAGTAGTTGCAAACTTTTTTTGCGACCCAGTTTAATGTGAGAACATTCGCCTGTATGTGTTTGCACGTGCCTGTGGAGTTCTGCCAGCGCAGCCCATGTCTGATCTAAAGTGATACTTCCACACGTTACATATTATCTGTTTAGTATAAGTGAACGAATATTTGACACTGCCAGTTCTACCCAACGACAGAACACTATGGCGGCTGAAATATTTTAATAAATTATGTGGAAAATATTTTCAGTAACGATACAGCTAAGTAAATAATTAGAAAGCAAGAACATGTGTATATACTTAGATATAAACACTCGTTACCCTGTGGGGATTTTCATAGTCGACTACTAAAATATCCAACTCTTGGCCAAGTTATTACGGCTAAATTTTAGTTGGTTTCAAAGTCATGCAGGGCTCATCGAGGGGATATCTATGTATACAAAATTGTTTCACAATTTTCGCTTTCGATAAAAAATTTGTGTTCAAAAACAATAAATTTAAAATAGTTACATACGTACAATATTATTATATTATTTATGTACACCATGCAAACCATTTTTTAAGAGTATTCTGAATTGTAGAGAAATTTTAAAGAGTTCGTAAAGATCTCATCTGATTTTTTGCCGAATTTTCTAAAATGAAAAAAACTGTGCACTCTTTGATTCTTTTACGTAATTTCGGAAGAAAATCGGTAAAGCAATCAAAATTATGCTGCTATGTGAAGAATTTCTTGCAGAATTTTTTCAGAATTTTCTTTATTTTTCGTCCAAAAATTTATTTACGCGTTCGTGTCAACCGCTTCATATAGATTTCTTTGAAGATTCGTAAAAAAAACGTTAAAGAAATGAGAAACTCATAGAGATTTCGTTAAGATTTCGGGAATGATAATTAAAAACATCTATTTAGAGGTTTTAATACATGTTAACTAAAAAGTGCAGTTAAAAACCGAGAGTACTAAAAATATTCTAATAATTGGCACACTACTCGTGACTTATTAATACCCGGTTTGTAGTTAACTGAAAACAAACTGACTTTTTTGCGACATCAGCATGTAAAAGTAGTCAGTTGAAAGCACCCCTAGTTGAAAAATGGTGAACATATAGTTAGTTGAGTTCCCTACAGGGTACCGAACGAGTACATATACATATATACATAGATACATATTTAAGTACATATCTATATATATAGCGTTTAAAGACATTCCGCATTCAAAGTTTAGAGCAATAACACAGGTCCACAAAATAAAATCGATGAAAGGCTCCTTTGACCAAACCTGGTCTGTTATATGTTTTTGGGGTCGCTGAATACGAATCTGAAGTTTTGCTCCATCACCTAACCTCAGAAAACATCTCGGATTTTTCGTGACAGGGAACAGACTAGGTTTGGTCAAAATAACCTTTCATCGATTTTTTTTGTGGACTATGAAATTTGATGTGCAAGTTTGGGGTTAAAAGCTTATAAATACTAAGTACATACGTATGTATGTATGTGCAGTAGAAAAATAACCTGGACTATTTGAAGGCTAAATCCGCAATAATTTTAGCTTTGAAAAACTGTCTTCATTTGAAAACCCCTTATGAGTGAGAGCGAAAGTAAGAGTGTTGGAAATTTCTTTCCCTCTTACTACTTGAGCGAAGAATAGCTCAAAGTTGGCATTTGTGTACCGAAAGCGAAAACATATGAATTCGTCTTGGGTATATTTTATATATTTTTTTATTTGTCACAAAAAAAAATTTCAATGAAACTTCGGTTTCTGAAATTCGATTTGCTGCAATGCTCGTGTAGCAAAGCAACTTTTCGAATACGTACAATATGTAAAAAATAAATCAGACTTATCATGAGTTTCATTTTCCCCGAACCGGTTCACTTTTCACTTTTGGCTTCCATGGTTTTACTATGAGCGGATGGCAAATTTTCTGGTGAATTTTTTTTTTTCAGGCGAAACTCAGGATAAGGCAAAATATGATTTTTATTTCTTAGCAGTGGAATCGTAAAATTTTTTCGCTTAGCAGAATTGTACTTAAATGTGCTGATTTTTAAGAGAAAATAGGGGGAAGTACTGAATTTTGAGAAAAACATCTGGCAACCCTAATGTTGTTGTTGTTGTTGTAGCGGCTACAACAACCCCGCCCAGATCGGTTGGTATCTCAGTCGTTGTCGTCAAGTTCCACTAACGGCAACCCTAGGAAGCGTGCAGCTTCTGTGGGATCTGTCCACAGGGACAGGGCCGTTAGGGTTGTCGGGTTTTCCGGGCATGCGAAGAGATGGTTCGAGTCATGTGGGGTCTCTCCGCATGCCGGACATTCGTTCGGCACATCCTCATTCAGCCTACTCAAGTAGGAGTTTAACCTGCTGCAGTAGCCGGAGCGAAGTTGAGCAAGTGTAGTGCGTGTCTCCCGAGGCAGATGAAGCTCTGTCTCGTCAATGTCCGGGGGTGGTATGCCTAGAACGGCATTCACAGGTCTAGAGTCTACACAACTCGAGACTGAGTCCCTGTGAATGCCGTTCAGGGCCTGTCTGTACGCTGTCGGGTCCAGAGGTTGCTTAATGAACCTCTGGACTTCGTCCGTCAGTTCATATAGATGCCTCCTGACGTGCCTAGGCGAGGGCTCCTCTGCAAGCAGCTGTCTGTTTGGGTGGCCACTTCTGTGGCTCCCGATCAGGAACTGCTTGCAGAGCATTATGTTGTGCTCCTTAACTGGGAGCATTTGCGCCTCGCCGTGCAAGTGATGTTCTGGCGACATCAGGAGGCATCCCGTCGCTGTCCTAAGTGCCGTATTTTGTCCCGTCTGTAGCTTCGTCCACTGCGTCCTACTAGTCCCTGGCGACCACACTGGCGCTGCGTAGTTCAAAACCGGCCGGCCTATTGCCTTGTATGTTGCCAGCAACGTTTCTTTGTCTTTGCCCCAAGTACTGCCGGCTAGCGACTTGAGGACCTTGTTGCGGCTCTGTACTTTATTGACAATAGCGGTTGAGTGCGCAGAGAAGGAGAGCAGGCTGTCGAATGTTACTCCGAGTATTTTGGGGTTATGGGTTGGTGTGTCATCGACGTGAATCCCCAGCGGTAGCCTGACCTCCTTCGTCCAGGTTGTGAACAGGGTCGCGGAGGATTTCGTAGGGGAGAGGGCTAGACACTTTGCAGTGAAGAAGCGAGAAAGTTCGGAGAGATAGCCGTTTACTTTCAAACACAGGTCATCAATTCCATTCCCAGTCGCCATGATCGAGCAGTCGCTCGGCATAGGAGACAATCGAGACTCCCTCTGGTGGTTGAGGGAGCTTTGAAATATAAAAGTTAAACAGTAGCGGGGAAAGGACACCACCCTGAGGAACCCCCTGTTTTATTTTTCGCTGCTTACTCGTTTTGTCTCTAAATGTTACCGACGAATGTCGACCACTCAGATAATTTGCCGACCACCGTTTGAGCCTCTGTGGGAGAGAGGAGGCCTCTATATCTTCTAGCAGCGTGGAATGGCAGACGGTGTCAAACGCCTTTGACAAGTCCAACGCTACTAGAATCGTTCTCTCACAGGGACGGTTGCGGTTAAGGCCACGAGTTATCTGAGTGTTTATGGCGTTAAGTGCTGTTGTTGTACTGTGCACTTTACGGAAACCATGCTGATGCTTCGCTGGGGTCAGGTGGTTTGTGAAGTACGGGAGTAGCAAGGCCTCAAGTGTCTTCGCTACCGGGGAAAGGAGTGTAATCGGACGATACGAATCTCCTTTGTTGGCGGGTTTCCCCGGTTTGAGCAGTGGGACCACTCTCCCCACCTTCCAGATGTCTGGGATGATGAGAGTGGCCAT